TAAGCAAATTCTGACCAGTACACGTATTTCAGAAGTTATTTTTCTTACCCTCCTGGTCAGAATACTTCATGACCTCCCTTGCCTCAAAATTTTTTTTTCCACTATGAAAAGGTATCCTTGGGGATGACATGTGGATATGGTAAAGGAGGAAGCCAGAGTAAACAAGATGCATCTTCCTGTATCCTCGATCTTGAGGAAAAATTCTAATCTTAGGCATTTTTACATTACAATACTATGGAATAGATATAAAGTTGGTAATTTTTAGATAAAATTCAAATTTAAGGAAAATATTTCTGAGCCAGAAGCATAGCACTAAACCTCTTCTCTAGAGGTAAATATAATCTTTCTAGTCCCTGGCCCAGTAATGAATTGGATTAAGAAATAAATTCACTAATCGAAATATCCAACTAGAAGGGTATATATAAGGCTAATAACAACTGACTTTGGATGATAAAAATGATTTTTAAATAAAATTTTTTTGCTCTTCCTGAGGTTTCTATGTCTATATAGTACTTTATTTTAATTTATAAGAAAAATTAAACTTAACAGAAAAATGCTAAATTTTTAGATATGAAAGTTTCATTGCATTATCAAATCTTTATCAGTATAAAATAAACCAGATTTGTATTTCTCTAGTTTGTCTACTAATACAGTTTCAAATTAAAAGAGATTTAAATACCCCTTTTCTTACACTTACCTTTTCTCGAGATCTGGGGGGCTTGAAGAGTGGGGAAAGGACAGTGAAATCTCTCAACCACAAACTCAAGAAGTAATTCTTGAATTCCTTTTCAATACTGCTTTGAGAACTTAAGAGCAAGCTGTTCCTCTGAAGCTGATTTTAAACTTATCTGATTTTGAAAGTTTTCTTCCATGACAGTTAATTCATTATCATGTCTAAAGTTCCTGAACACAGTAGGAATCCCTTTTATAGATTTCCAAAGTAAATATGTGGAGGTAAGGTTGCTTCAAATAATCACTTTTATTTTTCAAGGATTTCTCTCTCTCCTTTTCAAAAAACACTTTGCCCATCACAAAAATCATACATGCTTATTTATAATCAAGAAGATCCCTCTTGCCCCAATAAGATTTATCTCTCACCCAGAGTAAACCAGCAAAACAGTTTAGCATATGAATTATTCTGGTGAATCTATTCAACTATTTGATGATCTTTTACTTATTCAATAATGAACAACTTTTTAGCTCATTAAATATTCACTTGATATTTTAAATAACTGCACAGTATCCTACTGAACATGTTATTTAATCAGCCTTTATTACTGAATGCTTTATAAACAATACTATAACACACACATGGATTACTTCTTTAAAAAGTGGATCTGTTAACTGCTTTTACAGTATTGGAAAACTGAGATAATTATTCTTTTAATGTTCATAAATCTTACGGATATAACATAACTGGTTCATACATAACCATTTGAAGAATTTAAAAAGTCAACTATATAACTTGTCAGTATAAAATTAATATCTGAACCTCAGGACCTGATGTTTAGGCTACTGTTCTGAAGTTTCTTAAATTTCACTTTTTTTTTTCCATATTGCTAATACATTTACAAGGTTAACCTAAATGAATAAATGAGAAACAATGATAGAAGTGTTATATACCTCAGGTCATACCACAGGAAGGATGGTTAATGTTAGACTGTTAAGGTCAAGAAACAGTGCACATGAGAAATTCTGCCTTATCAAAAAAAAAAAAAAATGTACAGGCATTAGTTGGGGGAGAACTGGAGTGATTAAATGGCATAAATAAAGGCAAAGAGAAAGAAAAATGGATTAGAACTAGTTAATTTGAAGAAAAATTAAATAACATAGAAAATGTTGGGACAAGACCACAACATATCAAAGTTAGGAATTTAAATTTTATACTATAGGGAAAAAAAACTAGGAAGATTAAAATAGTAGTATATACTATATAGAAGATGAAATTGTTAGTTTAAAACAGCTAGAGGTGACCAGGCGTGGTGGCTCACGCCTGTAATCCCAGCACTTTGGGAGGCTGAAGTGGGTGGATTACGACGTCAGGAGTTTAAGACCAGCCTGGCTAACATAGTGAAATCCTGTCTCTACTAAAAATACAAAAATTAGCTGGGCGTGGTGGCAGATGCCTGTAATCCCAGCTATGCAGGAGGCTGAGGCAGGAAAATTGCTTGAACCCAGGAAGTGGAGGTTGCGGTGAGCTGAGATAGTGCCACTGCACTCCAGCTTGAGCAACCGAGCAAGACTCCATCTCAAAAAAACAAAAACAAAAAACAAATAACCACCACCACCACCAAAACAACTAGAGGCAAAGACCTAGTTAAAATGCTGCTAATAAGTGAAAAACAACGAAGTACTTAATTATAGTAGAAATTTCAAGGATGAAGGAATCAAAGACACTGTGGTTCATTTGGGTATATGACAAACATGAGCAAATTCAGTGTGTTTCTTGGGGTCATTAGTTTTGGATCCACCTAAATTGATCACGCAGAAAACAATTTCAAAGCCATCAATGCAAAATTTGCAGTCCTGATCATCACACATATACCTATTAACCACCCATTTAAACATTGTTTGTATTTTTTTTTTTTTTTTTTTGAGACGGAGTCTTGCTGTGTTGCCCAGGCTGGAGTGCAGTGGCCAGATCTCAGCTCACTGCAAGCTCTGCCTCCCAGGTTCATGCCATTCTTCTGCCTCAGCCTCCCGAGTAGCTGGGACTACAGGCACCCGCCACCTCGCCCGGCTAGTTTTTTGTATTTTTTTTTTTTTGGTAGAGACGGGGTTTCACCATGTTAGCCAGGATGGTCTTGATCTCCTGACCTCGTGATCCACCCGTCTCGGCCTCCCAAAGTGCTGGGATTACAGGCTTGAGCCACCGCACCTGGCTTTCTGTTTGTATTCTAAGTGGCCTGATGGTGGGGGGGGGGGTCTCAAATCAGAGTCATAAAAATATTCTGTCCTATCTGCAGATGTCAAATAGGATAAGGCACATACACCTGTCAAGATTGTCTTAAAGAAGTATGAAAAACTGGGCCGGGCATGGTGGTTCACGCATGTAATTCCAGCACTTTGGAAGGCCGAGGTGGGCGAATCACGAGGTCAGGAGTTTGAGAGACCAACCTGGCCAATATGGTGAAATCCCGTCTCTACTAAAAATACAAAAAAATTGGCCAGGAATGATGGTGGGTGCCTGTAATCCCAGCTACTCGGGGGGCTGATGCAGGAGAATTGCTTGGACCCAGGAGGCGGAGGTTGCAGTGAGCTGAGATTGCACCACTGCACTCTAGCCTGGGCAACAGAGCGAGACTCTTACTCAAAGTATGAAAAACCGAATCTGTAGCTCAAGCTAAAAGCTTAAACAGCTATAAGGTATGGCCCCTATCAACTCTCTGATCCTATTAGCTACTATTCTTTCTGCTTACATTTGATCACAGCCACATGCGCCTCTTTGCTGTTCCATGTACACACACAAAATACTTCAGCCTCAGGGTCTCTGTGTTTGTTATTTCCTCTGCTCAGAAGGGTCTTCTCCCAGGTACCTACATGGGTTTGTTCCCTTATTATTTCTAGGTCTTTGTTCAAATGACATCTCTGTAGGGTATTTCCTGACCATACTATTTAAAAATCTCTCTCTTCTGCCTTACAAACACTTTTATCACATCATTCCCACTTTCCCTGCCTTATTTTCTCCACAGAACTTTGGTCACTCTCTGCCATACCAAATACAGTACCTACCAGATTTTCTGTCCATTCATTCCATCACTCACTCCTCTACCCACAAGATTAGCAAGCTCCACGGGGGCTGGGATATATCTTTTTTATTCAGTGACAATCTTCAGCACCTGAACAGTAAATAAATGTGTACCTCTCTCTATATAAATGTTTCAAATCTATTTTTAATGTTGCTTGTCGAACATTAACATTTTCACACTTCCAGAAATGACATTAATAAAAATATAAACAAATTGACATAAAAATCTGTGTAGACTAAGCTAAAATTTACAAACTCTTAATAAAAGGTACATTTAAACTTTCTCAATTATGGGACAACAAATAATAGACTTCATTGCTTCATACTAAAATGGTATTTTTGACTAATCACAAGGAAACTTAAACTACCATATAGTTATAATCACAGGTATTCAGTCCAAAGAGGAAAAAAGTTTTTGTGGTACTATGAGAACCTGTATCTCTGAAAATGTTAGCTCCATAAGTGTAAGCACTCCCGAAGATTATAAGGTAATAAAATGTGGAAACAGGCAAACTATGGGGCGATTTGATGTTTCTACCACTTGCTAAAGATTTTCTTTAATAGAATCATTCGTGCTAAGTGGATAAAAGTTACAAATTACAAAAGATACAGAATACATCCAATAAAAAATCAGACTGAGGAATATTTAGTGTAAAACTGGCTTAAAATTTTTTGTCAGCAGAATTTCTCAACATCTAACCCTATAGCAAATAATACAAATAACAAGGAGATTCTTCAAGCAGTTGGCATTTCTTCAAAACACAAGGGTCCAATTATAAGAAAAATATCACATTATTCAAAGTCCTACAGAATTGGAGGAGAATCTGCACTACTCATGTTTTTGCATAAATTCCATGATTTATAAATAAACCCAAAATATAAATTATAAACATTTAATTTCAGTATAATGTAGACAAAAACAGCAGCTAACTTGTCATCTTTCACAGTAATTTTAACGTAAAAGGTTTAAACATTTATTTTGCCAATATAGTTTTCATTGCATATAGGCTTAAAAAAAAAAAGACATCCAAAATACCTGAGATGTATTTTATAAGTAAACAAAGAAAGAACATAAACTTAAATTTCTGGTAGAGGAGTTAGGTCTTCATTAAAAGGGTTCAAGCTGTTAGTAATAAAATGGAAGTAATCCCTTGACATGTGTAAAATAAAATTTTTTAGTAGATGGGAATGTATTGATGATAGTCTCTTATTTCTTCTCCCAGATATGCAAGTGATATATCTGAATACTTACTAGAGCCAAATCTATCTCAAAAGTTTAGGTCATTTTTTTTTTCCTTTTTGATAATATTCAATGAGAAATAACACTTTAAATAAAACTTTTTTCATGAGGAAGGTACAGTAATTATCCACCTGCAAAAGGAAAAAAATACAATTTGATTTAGAATGTCAACTTCTAAATATATAAATATATTTAGAGAAAGAATAATTTATGAAAGTATAATCTTGCTAATCCAAGTAGGGCTAACTGATGCATGTACCAGTAATGACACTTAGCGGCTTAAAAACACCTGTAATTCTGAATTTACCAAAATGATCCATAACTAACTGAAGAAAATCTTTAATGTTAAATATGGAACTTAGTCTACAGCTAGGCTAAGTTTTCAAATCTACTATCACATATTAATCTGTGTGATCTTGAGAGATTTATACTTGAATACAAAATGCAAACAGAGTAACTGAAATACATTTCTTGCTACCTCCTGGATACTCTCCTGTAGTCCTCTGAGTAAGCTCCAAAATCAATCCATACTCCAAATAACAGACTTAAGATGTTCAATATTGGAACTCTTTGGTATCAATTAAAAAAGAAACCTAAATGAAAAATATTAGTATTTTTTTCCAAATAAGAAAAAATGAAAACTTAATATATACCCCCATATAACTATGTGCAGTTTGTTTTGCAAAACAAAAAGCCAAAATAAGATTAACACTGAAAGGTATAAACTTTCATTTTATTGCTGGCTCCTTATGTGTTTCAAAATTACAACTCTACAAATAAAACATCTAGTACTGTTGAGAGTTTCCTAAATGTTATTTTTCATTAGGTATCGACAGGCCACCTCTTCTTCTCTAAGAAGAGACTGGAATGTATGTACTACTTCAATAAGTTTTAATGAAGCATTTTTCCTGTATTTTCTTACTTCTCAAATATTTCAATTTTCCTTAAATCTACTGTCAGGATTAAAAACAAGAAAAGTTTTCATTTAGCTATAAAAGCTCCAAATGATCCTTCTTCACGCTTAAGAGCACTTAAAGATGTAAAGAGTCATCTGAAAATGTAAAATGCAAATGTTTTCTTGTCATTTAGAAGACAGATTGAATATAATTTTCTAAAACCTGACTTCAGATACATTTAGGAATACAAAGAAAAAGAAACAAACAATACCTAACTCCTGAGTTGTTCTGAAAAATATTAGGCAGTATTGGGTAAACTTTGTAATTCATTCAATAAATATTCTTTTTTTTTTTTTTTGAGATGGAGTCTTCCTTTATCGCCCAGGCTGGAGTGTAGGGGCGCGATCTTGGCTCACTGCAAGCTCCGCCTCCCAGGTTCACGCCATTCTACTGCCTCAGCCTCCCGAGTAGCTGGGACTACAGGCGCCCACCACCATGCCCGGCTAATTTTTTGTATTTTTTGGAAGAGACAAGGTTTTCACTGTGTTAGCCAGGATGGTCTCGATCTCCTGACCTCGTGATCTGCCCGCCTGGGCCTCCCAGAGTGCTGGAAGATTACAGGCGTGAGCCACTGCGCCTGGTCTCATTCAATAAATATTCTAAGCATTTGTGTTAGGTCCTGGAATATTTTTAGTGGAATCAAAAATTATATATTTGGTGAAGTCTTTCATGCAATGGTTGAAAAGAAATAAAGAAAACAAGTTAAGAGCTTGATAAATAATTTTTAAAAGCACCAAGACAGTGTTTCCATGTAAATGCTGGCATTTAGTTCTATCCACTACGTATCGTATATTGGGAACAAAATGTTGCTGGATAAAAACTGAGAGTTTTTATATAATATTTTATCTTCAAATTAGAATTTAAACAAAAAGGTTCTTTACCTTTTGAATACAATTTCTTTTTTTGTTGTTGTTGAGACAGAGTCTCACTCTGTCACCCAGGCTGGAGTGCAGTGAGTACAGTGGTGTGATCTCGGCTCACTGCAACCTCCGCCTCCTGGGTTAAGGTGATTCTCCTGACTCAGCCTCCTGAGTAGCTGGGATTATAGGCGCACACCACACCACACCCAGCTAATTTTTGTATTTTTAGTTGAGATGGGGTTTTGCCATGTTGGTCAGGCTGGTCTCGAACTCTTGACCTCGTGATCCACCTGCCTCAGGCTCCTAAAATGCTGGGATAACAGGTGTGAGCCACCGTATCTGGCTCAAATACAATTTCTTAAATGAAATCTGAAGTACTTCATAAATTTCCAAAATAGACAATTCTGATTGTAAAGGACTAATTAACAACTGCTTTTATTTTGTAGATTTTCTGCATGGTTACGACTGAAAACTCTAAGACACTCCTTGTACAAAATAACATCAGAGTAATGATACACTACACAAATATACTCATCTTCTCCTAAACATCATTTAATGACTTTTAATCATAAGTTTAATGACTTTAAAACACCACAGATAAGGAGAACATAAATGAGCATTTTTGTTCAGATTTTTGTTGTTATTGCTGTTGAGATGGAGTCTTGCTCTGTTGCCCAAGCTGGAGTGCAGTGGTGCGATCTCCACTCACTGCAACCTCCGACTCCTGGGTTCAAGTGATTCTCCTGCCTCAGCCTCCCAAGTAGCTGGGATTACAGGTGCCCGACATCACACCTGGCTAATTTTTTACTTTTAGTAGAGACTGAGTTTCACCACATTGCCTAGGCTGGTCTCGAACTCCTGACCTCACATGATCCACATGCCTTGGCCTGAGATTACAGGCATGAGCCACCATGCCCGGCCTTTTGTTCAGATTTTAATTAAATTAGGCCAGGGGTGGTGGCTCATGCCTGTAAACCCAGCACAGTGGGCAGCTTTAAAGCAAGATTGCTTGAGCCCAGGAGTTTGAAACCAGTCTGGGCAGCATAGTGAGACCCTGTCTCTATTTTTATTTATTTATTTTTAATTCTTAAATTTTTATTTATTTATTTTAAATTATTTATTTATTTCTTTTTTTGAGACCAAGTTTCACTCTTGTTGTCTAGGCTGGATTGCAATGGCGTGATCTCCGCTCATTGCAACTTCCGCCTCCCGGGTTCAAGCAATTCTCCTGCCTCAGTCTCCCGAGTAGCTAGGACTATAGGCATGTGCCACCATGCCTGGCTAATTTTTTGTATTTTTAGTAGAGACGGGGTTTCACCATGTTGGTCAGGTTGGTCTCGAACTACTGACCCCAGATCATCCACCCGCCTCGGACTCCCAAAGTGCTGGAATTACAGGCATGAGTCACTGTGCCCAGCTCTGCTTTTCTTTTCTTTTCTTTTTTTTGTTGTTGAGAGGGAGTCTCCCTCTCTCACCTAGGCTGGAGTGCAGTGGTGTGATCTCGGTTCACTGCAAGCTCCGCCTCCCAGGTTCACGCCATTCTCCTGCTTCAGCCTCCCAAGTAGCTGGGACTATAGGCGCCCGCCACCACGCCTGGCTAATTTTTTTCTATTTTTAGTAGAGACAGGGTTTCACTGTGTTAGCCATGATAATCTCGATCTCCAGACCTCCTGATCCACCTGCCTCGGCCTCCCAAAGTGCTGGGATTACAGGTGTGAGCTACCACGCCCAGCCATCTACTTTTACTTTTAATAGAAATTTTAAAAAACAAAAAATTAAAAAAAAATTATTTACATATTTATATCTATAAAATTAACTACAATCATAATTTGGTCTTACTCTGAGTTAAATCTTGAATATAAAAAAGTAAAGTAAACAAGACCATATTTTTGACTTGTCAAACAAAAATCTTTGGCTAAGGACTTAAGAAAACATTTTAATAAAAACATGAAAAAAACCAGTATACTGTTATAAAGTTAGAAGACATAGGACTAACACCCGAATCTGCCATGTGTAGCAAATTATTTGAGTTTTGTGTTTCCTCAGCTATCCAATGAGTGGGTTGGTCACTTGTTAGGTTTTCCTACCTTTAAAGTTACGGTTAAGTGTGGCATTTTGAGAACCAGAATTTCAGGTATTTAATTCACGTATTTTGACGGCTTTTCCCCTTCAGATATAAAGAAATACTCAGAAACAGTACTAAATATTGTCTTCTAAGCTCTGTTCAAAATGCTTAATATATTTTATATTCATCTATAAAGACATATTTTAAAAGTCATTTCAAAACAAAGGGAAAACTAGAATTTGTTTTATCCCAAGTAAAAAAATCTGAATTAATGTCTATGTTGAATATAAATGTACATTAAAATAAATTCCTCTAATGCTGCATAAGCTCTTTTAAAAAACTCTTGATGGCATTCAATACACTTATAAAACTGTAATTATACTATTTTAAGAGACAATACATCTGAAAAATTAGTATTATTTTCATGGAATCATACTAAAAATAACAGGATTATCAATAATACTGAAAAGACACTATCAATAAAACTGAAAACACATTAGTAATATTAATATACATTAAAATGCAACTGTAGAGTATGGTCAACCTTACTTCAGCAGCACAGTTAATACTGGAGATAATTTTAGAATCTTAACGCCAATATTTACGTGCTGCTAAGGCACTGCTGACATTGTTATCACAAGAGCTATGAATAAAAAGAAACATATTTTCTTCAGAAGATCAGATCCTTGTATTTTTGAGGCAGCACAATATGGCCTGCACCTTTTCAAAATCCACAAACCATTATGTGCTGCTACTTTACTCCAAGGTTTTGTTTTTTTTAAACACACATTCATGCCTAAAGAATATAAAAAATATTTTCTTTCAGAAAAAAAAGAATGCATATAAAAAAATCTGTGTTTAAACATTACAACATTGATGTAATATGCATTAATTATTTTAAAGGAGATTTTAAGTAGAATAATAAAACATTTCTACACCAAAAACTTAATTGAAGTCCATTCTGTGCCCAGCACAGTGCTATAGATTAGGAAACACAAAGAATAAAATGAGGAAAAGAAAAGCATTTATTTGCCATGACAGCTTAACAGGGCAATACAATTAAATGTTTAAACTTTTGAATATATTTAATATATGAAGTTATTTTTCCTTGTATAAACAAAAAAGTAAATTTATAAAATTTGATCTTTACCTTGGTAAAAGCAGAATTTACAAACATTTTGTTCCTTGCAGTACACCTTTCAAAAGACATCTTCATCAAATAGGTAAGACTTCATACCAAGAGAAAAACATGAAATGACATACAAGAGCTCAGTTTCAATAAACTTAAGCTAGCAAAATGCAAATGTACTTTTAAAGAAAAATACTTTAATTCTAAATAAAATGTTAATTTTATTAAACATCTAATTAAGATATTTTAATTCTAAATAGTTAAGGAAAAAAAAGCTCTAAACAAACCAATTCTCCCTTAAATAATTTGTTATTAATAATCTAAATATTTTCTTTCAACATTGATCTCCATATTAGAAGTTCCCTTAGAGTTGGATATCATTTGATACAGTAATTCTAAAATATGAATCCTTGGGATAATGAGTTAATTTGGTACCCTGAGATGAGAAATAAATTCTGTAGCTCTTGATCTTCCTATTCCCTATTTCTGGCCCATTTACCAGGTAAGGAAGACACTCCAGGTTTCCACTTACTCAGATGTAGAAATGAAATTCCTTCTCTCTAAAAGATATTAGAAAATTGCCACCACTCAAGCCTAGACAATCTTTTTTGCCCCATGCTCTCATCATTAAAATGACTATGCTGAAGTTAGAATACATCTGTTACAGAATAGTAAGGCGATGTACACAACCAAAGCCCTAAAATTTGTTCTTCCATTCTAATATCTAATTATCTATACAAAGCACAGGGTCACATTCCATATGAATTTTTTCTGAGTATTTTTCCCATTAATAAAAAATATATGTAGCTAATCTCCTATCTAAGCAACCTGGATTTCACATATAACTCTGGTCTTTATTGTCTCAAGTTTCTGCACAACATTTTTTTTTTGTTTTTTATTTTATTTATTATTATTTTTTAAAGAGAGCAGTTTCTGTACCTTTTAGAGGAAAAAATAAACAAACCTCATTTCTACATCTGAGTAAGTGGAAACTTTAGGAGTATACTTCCTTACCTGGTAAATGGACCGGAAATACGTAGGGAATAGGAAGATCAAGAGCTACAGGATTTGTTTTATTTCTCATCTCAGAGTACTCTGTTGCCCAGGTTGGGGTACAGTGCCATGATCGTAGCTCACTGCTGCCTTGACCTCTTGGGCTTAAGTGATCTGTCCACCTCAGCCTCTCAAGTAGCTGGGACTGCAAGTGCACACCACCACGCACAGCTCTTTACATTTTTATTTTATTGTAGAGACAGGGTCTTATGTTGCCTAGGATGGTCTTGAACTCCTGGCCTCAAGCAATCCTCCTGCCTTGGCCTCCCAAAGTCCTAAAATTACAGGCAAGAGCCACCATGTCTGGCCTGCACATTTTTTTTTTTTTTCCTTGAGACGGACGGGGTTTCACCATGTTAGTCGGGCTGGTCTTGAACTCCTGAGCTCAGGTGATCCACCTGCCTTGGCCTCCCAAAGTGCTGGGATTACAGGCGTGAGCCACTGTGCCTGTCCTGGCCTGCACAAGTTTTAACATGTAACCAAGATAAATCCGTTCGCATTCACTTGAGAAATATATAATGTATATTTTTATTTATCAATTATATTAAGGAATTGTCCTTCAGGGTCCCCCTCATCACGTACATTTTCCAGATAAAAACTTAAATATAATTTTTTTCAAACATAAAAGGTGCCTGTAAATTATTTAACAAATATTTTATTGAATACCTACTATGTGCAAGGCACTGTCCCAGTTATTACACTAGTTGGTAGTATACCAGATAGACAGTGTCTTTTCAGAAAGAGTAGTCATTATAAGACAACTTAAAGTGAAGGATCTTAAGCTGAAGAATTTAGTGCCAGCAAAGGATGGTTTGAGTTTCAGAAAGAGGTGTCGTTCTAAAAATGTCAACATAACAGGAGAAGTAGCTTTGAGGCAGCAGAGTTCCCAGACACCACTAAGAAAATCACTGGGAAGAAAGGATAGGTTTTTCTGTTTTTTTTCTTTTTTCAGATGGAGTCTTGCTCTGTTGCCCAGGTTGGAGTGCAGTGATGCCATCTCAGCTCACTGCAAGCTCCACCTTCCTGGTTCACGCCATTCTCCTGCCTTAGCCTCCCGAGTAGCTGGGACTACAGGCACCTGCCACTATGTCTGGCTAATTTTTTGTGTTTTTAGTAGAGACAGGGTTTCACCATGTTAGCCAGGATGGTCTTGATCTCCTGACCTCGTGATCCACCCACCTTGGCCTCCCAAAGTGCTGGGATTACAGGTGTGAGCCACCATGCTGAGCCCATGATGGGATTTTAATGCTGATAAATGTGCCCTATTCCGGAAGAAAATGCCACAAAGGACATTTATTAGTAAGGAAGAAAAAAAAGCACCAGGATTTAAGGCAGGAAGAGATAGGCAAACTCTACTGTTTTGTGCAAATGCCGTCAGTTTGCTGTCCTTAGCCATAAAGCTGCTAATTCCTGAGCCTCAAAGGGAAAAAACACCAGCAGCCAGTCTTTTGGTTGTACAAGAAGGTATGGACAATGAGAATGCTTTTTCTGGAATGCTTCCATCAATGCTTTGTTCCCAAAGTCAGGAAGTACCTTGCCAATAAGGGTCTGCCTTTTAAAGTTCTTTTGATATTGGACAATACTCCTGGCCACCCAGAACCACAAGTTCAACACCAAAAGCACTGAGGTGGTCTATGTGCCCCCACAATGTCTCTATATTTCATCCTCTGTATTAGGGTCATAAGGACCTTTACAGCTCATTATACATTGCACTCTGTGGAAATGTCTATCAATGCTGTGGAAGAGAACCCTGACAGAATAACATGAAAGTCTGGAAGAATTATACCACTGATTATGCCACCGTTGTTACAGAAAAAGTTGTGAAAGTCATCAAGTCTTAAACACATTCCTGGAGAAAACTGTGTCCAGATGATATATATGACTTCACAGGATTTGTGACAGAGACAATCAAGGAAATCATGAAAGAGACTGTGGATATGACAAAAAGAAAGGTATGGTGCAGGGGAGCGGGGGGGTGAAAGGTTTCAAGATATGGATCTTTGAGAAATTCAATAGCTAACAGACAACACACCAGATAAATTAACAGACAACTTGATGGAAATGATTGGTTCTGAACTAGTGCCAGATGATGAGGAAGACAACATAGAAGCAGTGCCAGACATACACTACTGGCACTGACATTAGAGAGTCTGGCAGAAGGGCTGCAATTATTCAAGACTACTTTTGATTTCTTTTATGACATGGACCCGTCTACAATATGGGCACTAAAACTAAAGCAAAGGGTGGACAGAGGATTGGTAATATACAAAAACATTTTTTAGAAAAATAAAAAAAGCAAAACAGTCAGGCAGAAATTGCGATGTATTTCTGTAAAGTTACATCAAATGTGCCTGGCCTTTCCTGCCTCTTCTCCCACCTCCTCCACCTCTTCCACTCCAGAAACAGCAAAACCAACCCCTTTTCTTCCTCAGCCTGCTCAATGTGAACAGTGAAGATGAAGGACTGTATGATGATGCACTTCTAAATAATTAAAAGTAAATATATTTTCTCCAGCTTACTTTAATATGATATATAATACACATAACATATAGCATATGTGTTATTGACTTTATGTTATCGGTAAGGCTATCTGTAGTTGAGTTTCAGGGAAGCCAAAAGTTATACATAGATTTTCAACTGCCCGGGGGCTGGCACCTCTCATCCTCACATTGTTCAAGGGTCAATTGTATTTTTAAAATTGTGGTTCAATATATATAAAAGTCACCATTTTAACCAGTTATAAGTGTATACTTCTGTGGCATACATATGTTTGCCCTGTTGTGCAACCCTCCATCTCCAGAACTTTTTCATCTTCTCCAAGTGATAGTGCTTAAACACTAACTGCCCACCCATCTCCTCTACCCCTCAGCCTCAGGAAATCACCATTCTACTGTTTCTATGAATTTGCCTATTCTAGTTATCTCACGTAAGTGGAATCATACAGTATCTGTCCTTTTGTGTCTGGCTTACTTCATTTAGCATAATTTTTTCAAGGTTCATCCAGGTTGTAGCATGCAACAAAATTTTCCTCTTTACAGTTGAATAGTTTTCCATTGTGTGTGTATACATTTTGTTTGTCCATTCATGTCATGATAGGCATTTAGGTTGTTTCTGTCTTTGGCTATTATGAATAATGCTGCCATGAACATGGTGTACAAATATCTCTTTGAAATTCTTCTTTCAATTATTTTGGGTATATGCCCAAGTGGAATTGCTGGATCATACAGTAATTCTACTTTTAATATTTTTGAGAAACTGCCATACTGTGTTTTACAGTGGCTACACTTATATTCTCACTAGCAATTTACAACTTCTCCCATCCTTGCCAACATGTATTTTCTGGTTTTGTTTTTGATAATAGCCATTCTAGTGAAAATGAAGTGGTATCTCATTGTGGTTTCCACTTCCATTTCCCTAATGAATAGTGATGTTGAGCATCTTGTGTTTCTTGACTAATTGTATACCTTCTTTGGAGAAATGTCTATTTAAGTCCTTTGCCCATTTTTTGATTGGGTTGTTTACTTTTTATTGAGTTTATACATTCTGGATATTAATCTCTTATTAGATACATGATTTGCAAATATTTTCTCCGATTCTGTAGACTGACTTTTCACATTGATAGTGTCCTTTGATGCACAGAAGTTTAAATTTTCTTTTTTTTTTTTTTAGATGGAGTCTTGTTCTGTTGCCCAGGCTGGAGTGCAGTGGCGCGATCTTGGCTCACTGCAACCTCCGCCTCCCAGCGTCAAGTGATTCACCTGCCTCAGCCTCCCGAGTAGCTGGGACTACAGGTGCCCACCACCATACCTGGCCAATTTTTGTGTTGTTTCACTGTGTTGGCCAGGCTGGTCTCGAACTCCTGACTCTGTGATTCACACACCTCGGCCTCCCAAAGTGCTGGGATTACAGGTGTGAGCCACAGTGCCTGGCCAGAAGTTTGACTTTGATAAAGTCCAATTGATCTACTTGTTTTGTCTGTGCTTTTGCTGTCATATCTGAGAAATCACTGCCAAATCCAGTATCTTGAAGGTTTTGCCCTTTGTTTTC